AATTTTATGATTAATTTAGACTTTTTACTAAGTGGTATAAAAATTCTTTAATTTAACCGTCCACAATCCAAAAATTAATCGAGTAATTGACGAAACTCTCAGAAAGATTCTTCTATTTGCAGACAATCGATAAGACAAACTAGTTCTGAAAGGCATTGAAACAAAAAAATAAGCAATAACAAAATCAAAGGGACAGCGAAATTGCATAGAGCCTTTGAGCAAATACGGAAATTTGGTTTCCGGCATCTCATCTCCGGAATCACGCTGTACTTTACGTGCCCGTCAGCACAGCCTATACCTATTTGGTGAGGCTGTATTCTGTGTAGCTTTGTTCATATATATGTTTCAAATAGAATGGGATAGTAATTGTATTAATTCAAGTTTCAACTGTCAAAGTACAGATCAAGAATAATACTAAATAATGATTACGTTTAACCAATTATCTTTTAACCTATTTCATTATTTTTTCAAAATCTCCTGCTCTAGACTAAGCTTGGTTTAGCTAAAGTAAAAATGGTTTATTGCCATTTTTCATTCATTTTTTTTTCAGGAATCTAGAATTTACAGTCTTACTTTACTTTGACAATACACATACTATGGCTTTATTTCCTTTAAATTTCTTTTAAAAACAAGTTTCACCGGCCATTAAGTATCAGCTTCACTCATAAATAGATCAAAAGATCAGAAATCTACGTGGCAAAATATTGAGCCGTTCTTTAGAAGCCTAAACGCATGAACTAACAAGTTCTATATGAACACAATGACATCGACTTTAATTTTGACACAGAGGCACAAAGCGAGGGACTCCACGAGCTGGGAGTCATTACACGCGGCCGCAGAGCGGAGACAAAGCGCCTCTAATTGGACGGAAGCTGTCCTCACTACTGTGCGTCTGGTTACCGGCCGCCGCACACGATACCTGCATTAGAACCGGATATTACAATAATATGCAAACACCGTCTACTCTAGCTTATTGTACATTTCAATAACAATATTTTTATAGAAATGTGACTCAAAACAAATATCTTTTTTTATTAAGAGTTAAAAGAGATAAGGGTTGTAACAGCTTCTACGAGAAATACATCTTAGTATAAGAACAGATGAACAATCAGTTAGTAGGTATACAAAGTCTATGTATGAGCCGCGGCCCTCAAAAGTTGCGGCTTTCTGGCATTGTAGTCACGTCCGGTGTCGATATTCTATCGAAGTAACCCTCGGTAATTTATGGAGCCAGAGAGGCGTGCCAGTATGAATTATGGTCAGGACAGACGGACTATTACGTTTACAAAGTAAAGTATCTGCTGGACTCACATCCTTGATGAAATATAACCAAAGTCGTAAACGATCATAATAAAGTAAAAGTCATCTGAATATCAAATATAAATTTCTTTTAGATTGTGACGATGGCTTAATGGACGATGGATTACACAAAAAACAACCCAAAGACACGTTATTTCACCTTTTTCTAAAACTATTTATAATTTTATCTCAAATCAATGCACAATCATATTTGTAGATTTTTGCAATATGAAAGAATCTACAAATAATATAAGTACAAAGCACACGACAAAAAGAAACCATCAATTCTCGATTCGATTTGAATAAAAGGTATTCTTTTGTAAGCAAGGCCTAGGTACGTACAATGGAGGGGTCATTTTTCACTCGGGTTGGCCGTAAATCACAAACAGACTGCCATATTTCATAGTCGATAGAGTGGCCGTCGCGGGACAGGAATTGCGATCGAAATATCATTCCATACAACACAATCAAATTCAAGTTCAAAGCTGAAGTAGTCTTTATGGAACTTTAAATAATTTGAAACAAAATTTTACACTTATACTACTACTGCAGTTTTAAATTTCTAGTCCCCTGTAGAATATTTGATAAGTCACGCTTTGTTTTCGGGCTATTTATATGCAATTGATTAGCTCGAGTCAACACAGACATAAATATCGACAAACTATCGTAGAAGCTAATGAAGCACCTTCTAAGTAGAATCACTTAAATTTCAATAGAGGCAGCCGCCTAAGTAGCAAGTACTGCTGTCATCTTCATCGGAGCATATCCTTGTTGCCGGCCCACTGGCTCGGAAACCAGCCGCCTCTCACATTATACGAGTAATTTAACGGAATACGGTTAAAGCCTATCTTTGCACGGAGTCGGATTTTACAGGAGATAACTGAGAGATAAGGCAGTGCGTCATTCACACTACGATTAACTCTAACCTAAATTTAGTACATTTTTAGAATTAGCTTTGTTTAAATGACGAAAAATATGTAACTTCTCCCAGAAGCTTAAGCATAATAATAAATTAAAATCAAATCGCTCGTTTCTATTTTTATATGATTGAACAATTAAATGTCTAATTTCTTTATGCAGTTACAATGTTTTTAATTTTCTGTCACAGTTGTAGTTAATTTCGTTTGATATATTCTTAATGAATATAATGAATAATGAAGAAGTCAATTAAGAATTTGCATCTAAATTTATATTAATGTATTTATATACTATTAGATATAATAGGTTGTTATGATAAGTTATAATGTAATATAAGGCTTACTCTTCTCGAAACAAAATTGTATAAACCATATTAAGATCCTTCTTTTACAACATAATTAGGTTTTTCTTGTATAAATTATAAACGTAGCTATAAATCGGGTTATTTCATTACAAGGAAAACCGATTATCTCTTCGTATTGATAAAAGATTCCACGTCGTAGCCTCGACTTCAAACACAGCCCATACTTTATCATTCTCTCCTCACCTCCCGAGGGACAAGACATGAACCCGAGACTTTCTTGCATTACAACTTATGGATAAGGCCGAAGACAACGTATAGGGCTGCCACTCCCTTTTTCACTTCTAATACTAAACGCAAAGTATGTAGAATTCATAAAACAAGACTTACTTTCGGTCAACCTCTATTGTGTTATAGCTTAGAAAATGGCTTTTGCTTCTTCACTGCGGCGACTTTTTTATGAAATATGTTTAATCGAATATTACATAATATGTTTGTTATTTAGTAGTGTGGCTGATAATTTTTGGGGTTAAATTAGAAAAGAATTGATGTATTTACAGATCTGTTATGAATCACACAAATAAAAATTAGTGCGCTTCTCAATATTTTATGAGTTTTTCAGTGAACATTTTAATATTGAGTTGGTGTTATTATAAAAGAAATAGTTAAGAATAAAACAATTCCCATGGCAATAAAAACCAAATTATATAACACTTGTATTTTACCATGTCTTACTTATGGATGTCAAACTTGGCCTACGACGAGCAAAAACAATCAAAAGCTAGTAGTTTGTCAACGCAGCATGGAAAGGAGCATGCTTAATATAAGACTACCAGATCAATGGACAGCTTCAAAAATAATAAAAAAAACAAACGTCAGTGACGTGCTACAAAAAATAAGAAAGCTTAAATGGAACTGGATTGGACATATAATGAGGACTAACAAAGAAAAATGGACTAAGGATGTAATAGAGTGGTATCCGAGAAACGGGAAAAGAAAACGAGGAGGTCAAGTTAAAAGATGGGAGGACGATCTGCCAAAAGGATGGAGAAGGTCTGCCAAGGATAGAGAGATGTGGAAACGATTGGGGGAGGCCTATGTCGACAGACAACCTGACCAAAGTGGTTGATAATAAATAATTATTATTTCGCTATGTAAATTAGATTTAAGAATGCTACTGTTAAATAAGAATAGCATGTAACTTAAAATGGCCAGTGAATAAAGGGCTTTTATTATTATTATTATTATTATTATTATATAAAGAGGATCAATTTCAGCGAGCATCAAAATCAATACAACCCTATACACGCACACATGTTTCATCATTTTTGTTATGAGATAATAGGGATTAACCAAAACGGAAAAATTTACGTAATAAATATGTATTATGAATAAAAATTTGCTTTATACTTAAAATACTTAGAGATAGATAACCCTATGCAGTCGTCAAGTGAGGTTTACCGCAAAAAGCTCTTATGAATCATAGCTTACATAAGAGTTAAAAGGGAGCCTATTTTACTTGAACATGTGTTTTACGGTTTCTTTAGAATATGACTTGAAGAAAAAAATATATGGCTACAGAAGAATACACACCAAACAAAAATGATTTACTTTAGTTTACATAAGTTCAAAAGATTTAAAGAAATACAATTTCTTTAGCGCGTATAAACGCAAAATTATTACAACATTTAAATAACTAACGTTGTTTGTTTAAATACCAACGTTATTTAAACAAACAGTCGTCGCAGTACTTATAACGATTGCGTAAAAACTCTTTAAATTTATTTTATTAATGAGTATAATATGTATGTAATTATTTTATTTCAATATTGCAAGTAAAGTAACATTTTAAGAAACAATAATAATATTTTATTTTACTTTTAAGATAAAAAATGAACCTTATATTAGGTATATACTGTCTATAATATGTATAAAATAAACAACATTTAATTATAATAGCCATTTTTTTTCAATTTAAGAATGCATTAAAATGTTCTAAGTTGCTATTTAAAATTAGGTCAAAAAACAAAAATATCTTGAATATATAATATAGTTATACTAGTATCCCATCATAAATCTTTACTCATTGTGAAACGACTTCCGCAATTAATGCCGTCGGAAAATTAAGTTGTTGTCAAGTGAGTGAGAACGGGAAACTTAATATAACAGAGCTTTTGAAATATTTTACGTACTTCCTTTAGCCCACCGCAGTTAAACACAATTATAACGTGCACAAAGATTAAGGCTTTTCTTTTGAATAAAAAATGGTTAAAACAAATACATTTTATATGAAATGGGCTAGACTTACGTAAACATCATTATTTTAGCTATTAGAGTTTCCTAATGAGAGCACTCACACGTCAATTTCAAGTGCACTCACCGAGCGAATCGAGTGTTGTTAACTGCTAAAGAACTGCCGCCGAGTCCTAATTGCTGTCACCCACAACACTCAGTTAACACTTGTATCACGAGTTAAGTCAGATCACTTGCACAATCCACTGATAGCGCGGACTCGTGTTGATAACGCTGGGGCGGCTCGGGCAGGCACACAGGCGGCCAGCGCGGCGTGAGCGAGCGGACTGCTGCCTGCGCACGCCTCGACCCGGCCGGCCCCGCGCCCCTTGCCATTTATTCTTCACATGAAAATATCAAATCAGACCCTTATCTGATATTATTTTAATATAATTTATTTTAATATTCGAACGTAAATGGCATTGTGTAACTTTAGATCGTCTTGCACGCAGGATCTATCTATTTTACATAGTATAAACTAGAATAAACGTTTCCGTTCTACGCCCTTGATTTGAGAACTGGCACTAAATGTAAAATTAGAAGCATTAATATGTATTTCTTTACTGACGAGTCATAAGTGTACAATGTGTTACCTATATGATTAAATGATTTTTGAATTGGAATTTGTATTTGTTAACAAAAAACAGGGTTTTGGCAAGATATCGCCTTACTAACATGGAGCAGTTTCGCATAAACGTCATCGATTAATATAAGAATCGAATAATATAAAAAAATCTAACATTCTGCGACGAATTGAAGACCAACTTTTATAAATCATTATCGTGTATATTTTTTCTCTTTAAATAAAAATACAAAATACGTTTTTAATATAAATTTGCATATTAAGGAAGACAACAAAAGGTTAAAAACCTCTAAAGATCTCATTAATAGCTTTTTTCGTGTTGTGAAGGCACTGTACATAATTGTGCCATACCTTGGGGTATCTGGGTGGTATTGGGGTGTAATTAGGTAAATTAGTGCCATTATCTGGCATCGCCATCCGCATCACTCGTGCTCGGCGAGATATCTCTGCGAATGGTCCTCAACGATCACCTCAAGTCCTAAGTCTCGGTGATTAGTCACCGGCGTGTGTCGGATGCCCCGGAGGTGGGGAGGGTAGAGGAGGGTGCAAACGACGCAGTTAGCCTGAGTAATACCCGCCTCGTGCCGCGGTTACCATCGGCACCTAATTTATAACGTTTTGAATCGAATGCTTATGTAAATTCCCGCAAAGGTAGATCCCGAAGAATTTCTTTCTCATCTCAACACTCTTGAACATCAAACGATTTCGTCGTTCAAAGCGCTTTTTTTCTTATTTTCACACATTATTCCGGCCCCTTCACGCTGTAAGTAACGTTTTTATTTACTTCACAAGTTTCACCGTTTAAACACGACTCTATTTACTCCTACATGAAAGAGGCAACGCCTTTGTTCTAGTACGATTAATACGTACTAGAACACATTTACATTTACAAGTCATTACCAATACAAATAAGGTATAAAAAAATCAGCCGACTTATTGGGACTATGTTCAATATTAAAACTATACCTAAATTTTTCTTTACTTGACATAAAGAATTCTCTTAATATAAGAATAAGTCTAGTGCTACAATTGTTAGATATCTAACGCTGTAGCTCGTTACGGTGTAGCGCTACGCCGTAGAAGTCTACTGCAGTCCAAAGAAAACCATCACGACAACTGCTTGCAGCTTATCTTAGATTCTTCTTTCAGACTGGAAATAATATTCTACTGTAAACTATAATAACAATTAAGTTTATTTTACGGAGCCATTATATACTTTCGCTTGGAGTGTATTTAACTAAATCAAATTTAGACGTCATTGTTTAGTTGTAAAGTTTAAAATGTATCAAGGCCATCTCCAATTCACACCTATTCCAGTTATCGGCCTTCTTTTGTTCCTAATGCTCATTACGTATTCTCTCTCTCCTGGATCCAGATATAAATTTTATAGGTTTTATTGGAGGTCACGTCTATTGTGAACGTTCGTTTGTTTCAGTTTGGTATAGATAATCGGAGACTGTTTAATGTGTGAGGATTTAAATTTAAACGAGAAAAAAGTTAATAATTATTCAATAATATGCATCTGTAGTTAGTAGTTATGTAGTAATATTACTTTAATCACATATTATCTTTGAAAAAAGTTAAAAATAATGTAATAATGTACTACTTATGCCCTGTAGTTTCATCCGCTTTAGTTTGAGACCTGTTTTAGACGTTATAAATGCATGGATATTGCTTAATCATTATTTTATTGTGAATACATTTTAAACATCTAAGAACACTTCCGAAAGATTTCTTTGTGAAATGGCAATTTTAAAATAAGAATATTGTATTAACACGTTCAGGCCAGCAACGTCTCATGGCGGTAATTTTAGAAATTCATAATTGACACAACGTTTAATCACGTCGACTTTTAATTTACATTTATTCACACTACGTTTCCTAACGTCGGGAGTTAATACGATATTCAACTAAATAGATATTTGCGCCGCATCACTTGGAAGTTTCAAAAGTCTACCGCCGCAGCAAATCAGTTTTTAGGAACGTTTTGCGAAAATCCGTTACACCCGCATATATTCACATACGCACACACAGAACGTTGGTAGACGTCACGGGAAGTAGGGACGCGGCTAGCTTCAGTCATTTTGCGCCGCATCAAGAGAAGCTCTTGGTTCGCGTACATCGCTCGACCGAATTGAAGTTTCGAAACAGTAAGTTTATTGTAATACATATATTTATTTTTGAATAATATTCATAAATAAATAACTTATATATATTTATTTTAAAGTAACCAAAAATCAATTGTTTTAGATGAATAAAAAGCGACTATGCCGTAAGGGGTTACTGAAGGTATTTGAAGATTCTTCGTCCCGAAAGTTACTCCAATTCATATTTGCTATAGGCTTGTCGATAAATATATTTATTATTACTTTTAGTTTGGGCCATCATCTCGTAAAATTATTGCGTTCTACAGAACAAACAAACTGTTCAGCTTAAAAAAAATCAATTTGCAAGTGCCAGATCTTCTTTTTATTTCATTACAATTTTCTACAGAATGTAGTTCTGTGGCATTATTAATAACTGTAAAAATACTAAATCGTAAAATAATTTAAGTAAGACAGATGTCAGTATTAATACCAGTATATTGATAAGTTGTTTAAAAAATGGTTCATGTGTCACGTAATAGTGCGTATAACCCGACGTGTTTAGAGGCAACCCGCACGTGTTCGGCGCCATTCTCTTTTACTACGCCATACAGCCTTCTATTGAAAGTAAATTGATCTATTTATTTTTAAATCCATTGTGATTGAAACCCAATGTGTTATCCACTATGCAACACATCAAACCAGACTTAATAAACCCATTGACGTTCAACAGGTTTTGCTATCACTATCAATATATCCGAATGATTTATTTAAAAATCAAAAGCAAATAAGAATGTTTATTTAAGCAAATAAGAAATTAAGATGAGAGAGAAGAACTTGACATGTAATTGACTAAGATACAATGTATTCTGCAATTTGGCTTAGATTAAAATAATATTTTGCAACTAAACATTTTAGAAAATCATATAAAGTGTTTTTATGAAAGCGTGTTCAGGCCGTCAACGGCAAATGAACGCATGTTCTGCGACTTCTTTTATCTTCACAATTGCTATACAAAAGGCTTTGCTGATTTTGTTCAACACTTTGTTTATCGTTACTAAATTTTGGTTACGTGACGTGGAAAGAGTTGATGTAAAAAGCCAATAAGGTTTTTTTTAAATACCATCTTTAGTAACACCTTTTATTTTCTTAAAATAATCGAAATACTTAAATCAATGTAAAAGAATACAGATTTGAGTAATTTTATTATTTCTTACAATGCGAGGGGCTCGTTAAACCCACCTGCCATAAAGTGCATTATTAACTTCAGCACATGAATATGTAGATGTCTCTGAGCGCAGTTTGGGGGCAGGTGTGCAACGTTTAGTTTTTGTCTCACCACTGCCGGCAGTTCTCTCGTCTAGACTATACCTATTCCAAACTTTTACAACCAACCAGCAAAATTAGTATTCCAGTCGTGTCCCTATGTTACTTGTAATTGTGGACCTCAGTGCTGTCAAACGTAGTAAATTCACAAACTAAAGGGCCGACGTAAATTTTTCCCTTCTAGCGGTTCATTTTAAAAATCCAAATCCGAAAATTCACGTAGAGAACAATGTCGTAGCAGCAGCCTCTGCTAAAATGTTAGTAGAGTAGTTAACACAACTTTACACTTAACAAGAGTAAATCAAATTAATACCCCCAAAAGCTCCCAAATAGCTTGACTGCATTATTCTGATATTAGGAGTTTCTCCTGAATTAAACAGCGATAAATAAAGTTGCGCCTGCGGTCCGGTTCAAAGTTATTTAATATCGGCGACAAGACGACCTCTCACACCGCTCTGCGCGACTGTACCCGTAGTTTGCATGTTAATCGGATGCAGGTTCGATCACCCGTCACCGACTCAGTTTTAAACATAGATTATTTACATTTTCGTTGTTATATCTGTTTTAATCTACCACGGATCGGTCGCGGTTCGATATCTGTCAGGTCGATCTGGCGGCGGCGTTTTTTTTCATAATATAAAAGTTAGGTATATGCTGTCGCTTTCTTTTTTGTAGGTATTATCAAACTTTACAACTTTTATCCAGAACTCATACATTTATCTTTAATAGTACACTCTCAAATAACGTGGCTTTTTATTTGTAAATTCATTTTCAGATCTACAACCTGACCAACTTGTCTCTTCGCAATATTAGGATAGATATTTATAGGACATTCGGACACATAGCAGAGTCAAAAATATTTGTGTAGCTTTAAAGCAGCTGGCATGTAAAGCGCAGCTGTCCACACTCTAGGAGCCGGGCAATAACATTTATTCAATACTAAAACGTCTGCAAAGTTACATATTGAACTGAAGCAGAAATGTTTAGTATCATATGCAATGTCATAATGAAGATGGTGAATAATTAATTTGACTCAAAGAGGTACAAAATACGTATCACTTAGTCTGTGTTTTCGAGTATTATATGTTGTATTATTAAGAATAATAACGAGGTACAATGCATTACCAATTAAATAAAGCACCGATAGCAATGCATTTTTTATAAATTTCACATTATAGTAAAAATTATTATAACGTATATTCTAAGACATGTCTTTTTCTTTCTTCGTCATTTTTCTGGTGATGAAAACCTCTTACATATTATATAGTTTTTTGTATATATGATACATATATATCAATTCGTTTAGTAAAACATAAAGACCAAAGGCCTTGGGTTCGTTTTAAGATAGTTTAAACAGTATCGGGGCGTGTAGTTGTAATAGTTAAAGTTGTTCTGAGCGAAGTTATTTAATAACTACTGCATAATCCGACTCCGCCTGCCCAGTTTTAATCTCTGGCTTTAACCTCGGCTACGAACGAAACGACATTCTTTAAATAGCTTCAACTTTTATATTTCTTAATTTGCTTTTAATTATAAATCTGGTAAATTATTTCAGATTTTAATTACTTTGCTTTAAAAAATGTGAATGAAATCATTAAAAGCTAAATGACGTCAGCGACTTCGTCTGTGTTAAATTTGGGAAGAAGATTGCGTATGGCTCATAGAGACCATTGAGAACCTACACAGTAAGTTACATCCATTCACAATATATTTATAATATATTCTAAATCCTCACTATGAAAAAGTCACCAGCTTAATATTATATTCTATCTAGATACCTATTCGGGTGCCATATTTATATAAAAAGCTACATTCGGACAAACTGAGTTAATGACGTGAAATTATAAAAAAAACCTAATTAGACATTAAGTTTGATAAATTAAAGGGACTTGAACATAATAGTCTTCTTCATAAGGTATTGTTATTTGAAACTACTTACTTTACCAATTTTCAAACTTGCCAGTAAATGTCTGCCTGTACTGTATCTTTTTAAATAAGGTATTAATTTAAATTAATTAATTAGTGCATTTTGAAAAATAATTTAATTTTTTGTAATTAAATTTATAAACTACAGTTTGAAGTTCACTTCAGCGCCCAATGCACTGAATGAACTAATGTCTAAATACAAGATAAGCAGATAATATAAAGCAATTCCAGTCCAGACTCATTTCAGACGTAAATGCACATTGAAAATACGTATTATAGATACGTTCATCCCGTCCGTCTGCCCGTCAAATTGAGACATATCGAACTTAGGAGGGGGCGGGACGTCACGCGACTAATGAATATTTTATCACGTTACCGGGAATCGAAGCCGCATTCGCAAACGTTTATCGATATTTATGACAGGAGCGAGGGTGCGAGGGAGCCTCTGGCACCTCACCTCGTAGAGGCCACGCTATCATAGCTTTGTTATTAAATTACAGCTTATGATGCAACCTTTTGCAACTTATCAGTGTAAACCTTTTAAATGATTCGTTATTTATTATTGTATTTAAAATATTTTTTATTATTTTTCAAATATATTTAACATACTTCATTTACAACGTTAATGAAATAATATGTTAAATATAGTTCCGTCGTCTTAAACAAAAACCAGAGAAGAACTATTTCAACTTTATTTTACAGGAACTACTGTGTTGCATGCAAATGCTTAGGTTTTCAGGTCTGACTTGAGATTTAAATATACCTAAACTTTTGAGTGGATAGGGAACAGTTTTCTTCCCCAAGGATAAATAAAATGATTATCACACGGTGGAGGGCTGTCGTTCATTTCACGGCTCTTGACTCACTCGAAGGAATGCAGCGCTGACTTGCAATTTGAATAATTTACAATTATCTGTCACGCAGGGGATGAGCCTAGTACACATTTACTTTAAATCATATTACGTATTGAGTTATTTCATATAATTATATTTTCTTTATTAATGGGATATCAAATTACATATTCTGGGTGATCTTTTTAATTCTTATTAGTATACCTTTTTTCAGAATTTAATTGATAGATAATATTTTTATATTTGTGTAAATTTTTTCCAATCAATACCTAATTCGCGTTGAATATTTCTCATAGAAACGTTTCCAAAAACGAATTCTTGAAACTAGCTCAGTTTCCATTTTGGTCTCTCGATCTATTTGAAGATATCGTCTACTGTCCCTCGAAATTGGATACCATTTTTCAGGTAGAAGGTCAGTCGGAGAAGGCGTGGGGTCACTAAAACAGTAAATGCAAGAGAAAAGTGTGAGTTGAAATGTAAGTAAACGCTCAGATACAAAACGTGAGTGACTGGGGATTGACTGCCTGATATGAAGCTGATTATTACTACGCTCCCTTTAAATTAAATTAATTCCTAACAGTAAAGTATTTCCTACTGACCCGTACTTTGCGAAGTTGGTCCATAGTGTAGTAATTCGATCCACCATAAGCTGGTCGTCCGAGGAGGTGTCTCCGAGGACACTGGACGGGTAGATGTACCCGACCTCGTCCGCGTGCATGGCGCCCCCGGTGCTCAGGTTATTAATAATTTGGTTTAAGTTTCTTCCTCCGTAATATGTAAATACGTAGTAGTAGATCTAGAAAATTTAATTTTTTAATTTTTAATTATAGGTAATATTTATTAATTATATCGTTGTATGAAATTATAAAGTAAAGCACCTTATCAGAACCGTGGTTCAAAAATCTCTCCATTTGTCTAAGTAATGGGTAATTTAAAACGATGTCCGATGTGAAGTTCACGATATTTTCTCTGAGTTGGGAGCTTACTTTATTAACTTTATAGAATCGCTTTACTTCAGCTACACTAGTCTCCATTTCCGTTTCGTTTAAATGAAACGCTTTAGACAAAAACTCCTCAAACATGTCGTAGGCATCAAAGTAGGCATTGGGGAATTTAGCATAAACGAAGTTATATTCATCCTTTGTGTGTCCAATTAAAAATCGTCTGTTCTTAACTTTAGGCACTGTATTCAGTGAATAATCCGTAATTATGTTTTCCACACCTTCGAACTTTGGCTCGATACATGGAGTATACTGATATTGAATGCTCACAGATGCCCTTACGACATCTAAGGGATTCTTCTTTGCTAGAAATTTGAGAGCTTTATCGACATCATCGGTTACATATCCTAACTTCCGAGCGATAATTGAGGGAAGAGTATTATTTGCAGGTAACACGCTAAATGGGAACAATGATGTTCCGCTCTGTAATATGGCTCGCTGGAACAGTTCGTAAGGCTGAGAGTGAACTTGGTGGTCAACCGACATGGCTCCACTACTGTGTCCAAAAAGTGTGATCTTATTCACGTCACCGCCAAAATGTTCTATGTTATCTTTTATCCAGCGAATCGCAAGAGTCTGATCCTTTAACCCCGTATTTCCGGGAACTTCTCTCGTCCCTGGGCACAAAAAGCCATATGGGCCAAGTCTATAATTAAAGACTACATATATCACACCGTACCGCACTAGATGCTGCGGTCCATAGAGAGTGTTGTTGACGAATTTCCCAGCAAAGCCGAACATGAACCTGCCTCCAAAGATATAAACCATAACGGGAAGTTTTTTTCCCCCTCGTGGTACATAAATATTCAAGTTGAGGCAATCTAATGTACCACCAAAACTGTTTGATAAATCGTCAAGTTGAGGACAATTTTTAGTATTATCTGTGGCTTCAAAAACTCCATCGTATATTGTATACGGATCTGCTACCTGTAAGAAGCAACATTTCTAAAACTCTTCAGTTCGCTTCACTTCGATTACAGTACAATTATTATATTCAAAAAGAATATTTATTTGTTGTTCTTCAATTTATTATTCGTACACAACATCGTGACTGATCTTAATAAAATTGACGACTAGTGACTTTAAAATATGGCATGACATATATATTCCAATGTGTTATTATTGTTATACAAGTAACACTTACCCCGAAAGGATTCTCTGTTCTAACTTTCCCATACGGTATTCCGAAAAACATATCATAGTCACCATCTGAGGAGAACAGACCTCGCACCCAACCATTTTTCGTCAACACGAGAGGTCTGGTATAATGATGATAGGCTTTCTCCCAAACACACACCAAAATAGGAACTAAGAGAAATTTTAAAGTAAAAACACAGCTGTTTTCACTCAACATATCGGAATCCACTCTACATTAAGAAATAAATAAAATACTAGCTGTTTCCTGCGTTTTTTTAAACAAAGATCTCGGTCATAAAAAAGACCTTTACAAATAATGCATTATTTTCGAACAAAATTGATGATCACTTAAAAGGTTAAAGGTATGAGTTAACCTAAAAATATACTATACCAAGGTAGTTCCTGCGATAGCTAGTTCAACTAAACAAATAAACTCATCATCTTTATAATATATGAAATTATGTTTCATTTCATTATACTAGTGTCACGACTTTCGCGGAGCACGGCGCCAATAAATGCATTATTAGAACGTAAAACGTGTATACAATCTATTTATTTATTTTATGCATTTTCAAATCAGATCTTTCACCAACAGAATCCCTTGTTAGAAAAAACATAAAATGCTATATTTGTATGAACATTTTTTAACGTGACATTGTGGTTTGTCTCAACATGCGTAAGAATGATGATTATAACAATGATTATTACTTTGTTTATTGCGGCAAAGAAAACATATTTTTAAGAAATGCAATGGTTTGATGGCGTAAAGGATTGCCGTACCGTATATAGTTTACGTCATGAAACTAGTACTAGTCTTATCACATTGATAACACCAGTGCATCGTGATTTCGAGTTTAAAATAAAATAATTAGATAGTTATTGAAAATTTTAGGTACACCGGTAATTATACTAGTGATTCAGTGCGGTATCGATCCGTGGACTTACAACAAACAGCACAATCAGGTAATTACTCGCTCTTCACTGAGTTTTTAATTTCGATTGGAGTGATGGATGTACTCTACGAGGTAACATCTGGGAATTATTTGAAAATAATTTTATTAAACGAGAGGCTTTAACTCCGTTATATTTTAAGTTGTTTTTCATTATCAATCATGCAAATGATCGTTTGGCTTAGTTTATGCGTAAATATAAAAACGGTGTTATAGTAGGCTAACTATTATTAAAAAAAAAACATTTAATGATTTATTTTCTTTGTCTATTTAATTAATCTAATCCAAATGACAAGCAACTTCCAACTTTATGGTGTGTTTATTATTCGCCATTGTTCTTTACTATAATATGTTATGTTAACAGACTATGCGAAGGTAAGACATTCGTAGATTAGATAAGAATGAAACACATTGGGAATAGCGGGATGATATAAATCTGGAGTAGAGATGAGGTGTCATCGGTAAGACGAATGTCCCGCCGACTTTGAACACATTCCGATACCGGTCTCCGATGATGTATTTGCTGAAAAGACGCGACGCTATCTCAAATGTTGTTAGCAAACTTTACAATAACTACATTTACTAGCTGTCACAACTAAAAAGTTACATTGTCTGCGTTTAAATTACGTTACGCTTTTTTATTATTATTAAAATAGACTAAAGACAAGGAGTCACATGACCGAGGACAGCATATAAATAATGGTACAGGATGGTTAAGGATTACACCTGGAGAGAGATACAGACTTAGATAGGTTATTGTCTAATACATATTACATCTTATCTTACATTTTATTTTCTATGTGCACTTTGAAGTCAATTAATATTTTTTAAGGAATTTGTATATCATATTAGTATAACCTTTTGCCTTATCGTTGGCACAAATGACTTCCAATGTGGATGGTCATTCTCGGCGAACCATTCCTTTGGCGAACACTGACTCCCGCAGGTGGAAAACTTGGTGACTCTTTGACACTTCTCGCAATAACTAACTTCGAAAGAAGTTCAGAAACTCGGACATGACATCTTTGTAATTCAATGATTTTGTTCGTGTGGCTACAATAATGTTCTTATGGACTGTTGTGGATGTGGGAGATGAGCATGATATGAGATTTAATTCATTCGAATTCCAGAATCGACGAATCCTATTATTACAAAGAGAATTAAATATATTATTAATTTATTTTAATAAGGTTTTTAAACATGACAGAATCCTGGGTTGCTTGCAGAGCACAGAAGAGCAGAAGCACCAAGTTAAATATTAAATTCAGTGTCTTAGTTATAAATAGAGTATTGTGGCGAAATTCCGCTCACGGCATGTAATGTTGCGAACACCTAACTGCTTTATGTCTGTCTAGACTCAAGCGCCTCGCGCCGTTGGGCACCATTCTCCATTGGTTTCGCGGACGTGGGTTTATTAACTTTTTATTAGGTTTTATTAACCAAGGAATCGATAAACATGGGCTCTAATATAAACAAATATTATTATTCGCACCATTTTCATGTCTTAAATATTGGTTAACTCAAATTCTTGATTAATGTTTTAATTCTAGAGAAAAGGTAAACTATTATTATTCTGAATTTCTATTAAAAACACTTGAACCGAGTAGATTTCTTGGTTGATGGAGATTATTTTTATTAATCAATATTTTTAATCTTATATTAATACAATACTTAATACTTAACAGAGTAGTACCCAAGAGACGGAAAGAGAAGCAGAGGAAGGCAGATGAGGAAAATAAAGGTCAATCCGAGGTGGTTTAGATGCATGGTGTCTGCAGTAGTGGGGGATCGCATTAGGCCTGCCCGTCGCGTCGCTCGCAGAGTCTACCGCAGGTGCACGTAATGCTGCATCTCCTTAGTATTGCAACTGTTTAAAGCTTCGCTTGAATTATTTACGAATTATTTCAGTATTAAAAAACATTTAAGATTACATGGCTTGGTTAGAATCCATCACACAGTAACGGTGCTCAGACAATAAAATATTATGATACCTACAAAGTTCTTTTTGCCGCGGAGGTTGACTTGAATTTGATGATAGCCAGGTGTATGCGATTTCCCGCTCACAGTCCATCTGTTTGAGAGAGGCAATGCATATATATACCTCGCATCTCGTTATTTATTTGAAATACTATTTTTAATAAACCACGTTTGCAAATGTCAAATTTTAATATGTGTTCCAAGTGCGTGTTTTGTTTAAGCTATCCTAAAAAGTTAAATAATCCTCAGTTAAAAAATCTATTAAAATATCTAACTAGATTTCATATTTTTTTGAATTTGAAACTATGAGCCATGCAATGGGCTGGAGTTGGAGCAAAGCAACTATAAGTTCGTTTCGGAAAGCACGAAATGCTGCTTATATTCTGTTTACGTATCTTTTAATAAAATATAAGTATGGTACGTACACGTAAGCGAGTTATTTGAGTATTGCTTACAATGAGCATAGTATATTAATTCTTACTAGAGACAAATTTATTTGGTACCTGAAGCGTCTCACAAAAACCCGCAAACGATGCGACGCCTCTGGCTGTGACAGCTCTGCGCTACTTCTGCGTTCGCAGGTATAAGATATAAGTGGGCACTTTTGATACTTAATCACTGCGTATCTTGTATACAATATGATGTATTAGTTAATAATTTAAAAAATACTGATTTCAAAACTAATAGTTCTATATATAACTAATAATTACTAATCTCCCTATATATAATATTTTATTATCCTAATTAGCTTTTCGCGGTAAGTTTAATACCATCCTAAAATAAAATTAAAATATTGTTTGAAAAGTCCTCGTCCCGACTCGTAGTAAAGTTTCCGATTTTAAAAAAACAAAACTTTGAGTAGTGCACCCGTTATTATTTACAAATAATAATATTAAAGTCCCAATTAACCATTACACAATTGGATGTTCACAATTTGCTGCCTCTGGGTAAATGCAATATTATATATTCCAAAATTTACTTTGCGCATTTCGTTCCAATGAATTATCGAGGTGAATGATTTACTAAGTTGAGCATTCCAACTTTCGTATTCAATTATCTCATCTAAATAAATGATTAAGCATTCAAGAATGACTTTTAACAAGTACTAGTTACCGTTTGAGTTGGAAAGAAGGAGAAAGTTTCATTAAACAATGAATATTTATAGAGAATCAGCGGGCGTTAACGACGCTACCTTTATTCGGCGAAATATGTTTATTTGTGTTTTGAGCTAACTTTGGGGAAAGCTGAGAGTCGGCAAGTTGAGGTTTTGCGACATGCGAGCTATTTGCGTCCCTACAGTCTTCAAATTACAGGTGGGAACCGCGCAGCAGGTTCAACATTGAAGTCGGAAAGCCGCCGGGTACAATAAATAAATAGTTGTAGATAGAAAGTTGTTTCTTCTTTGCCCCTGAGCCGGCTTCACCTACAATTCTTACCTCCCGAATTGTTGGCGCTTTTTACTTCGGATAGTTGGTGAGTTTGGATCATTAATTTCCAGTTAGGCCTCTTTTCGAAACTGATTTAAAAGTAATCGCTGAAGTTCAGAAATCACAACTATCTGACTACTTGTCGCCTACGTGTTTTTATTTTATGTCACAATTAAAGAAACATATTCAACAATTCAGCTTAATTGAGATTTAATTGTTTTGGAATAAGAACTAGTTGTTTTGAGAAGGTAAAAGTATATCTAATTAAGAGGCAATGATCCGTAGTATCAGCGGGTTGAGTCCTGATAATAAACTATCGGCTGATAACGAGATGACTGTCCCGCGGGACCACACCGACCGCAGCCTCCCCGACGTTATTACTCACTAACTTTCGATACGCTTTTATCCTATATCATTTATATTAATTTCTATATAAACAGGAAAGTATTTTGAGATTAACGCATCTGCTAAAATAATTAGTTAATCCAATAATACCTATAAAATAAACTACACGTTAATAAAATACACATTTCATAGTTTTTACAATAATATTTTTGGTTAGCGATAGTGTTTAAATAATAAAATAATATTTACTTTACAAAGTATAGTAAAACATACGAAACATATCTTCTCATCGTCTAAACTCGATAGGCTGGACTTTATTGGAACTATGGTCGTAGTTACTGATCCCATCGACGTAGGCCACTTCACCGGACGGGCGCACATCCCGATAACAGCAATTAATATTTTAGCGCGATATCGCTGATAGCATTTCTATCTTTCTCATAATAAGATAGTGTTTCAACCTGTAGACTTTCCTTTCATACAATATTGTAACTGCTATCCGGTATACCGTGACCTTCCCCGATGTAGCCTTTTACACGATACCCGATACTTGAGGTAAAAGAAAGGGTCAAACTTGTTGGTTATCATTGCTCCCCCTTAACAAGTTGTTCCAACAAAAATGTAAAGAACTTCCCCGGCCCTCTGGGTACATCGACAGCCTGGCTTACAAGGTAAAACCCCTCGCAAATGCAGGGGTAGCTGCTGGGTGGTCGCTTTATGATCTTATATCCACGATTATTGGAGGGAGTGGCTGTTCGGTCCCGTGTGAGGTGTCGCCAATTAGTTTCCGCTTCGCTTACGACGTCTGCAATCCTCAAATGAGCTATACAATTAATATTGTTATTTCAACGTGGAAAAATGCTAAGGTACTCGATAATACCGAATAGTTTTAGTAAATCTGAATATGTGTTTCTTTACGTTAATTAAACATTGCCAGTGTATGACATATATCTTGATATTTACTCACTTATAATAATTATATTTAAGGCTCAGTTGAGCAAATACAATCTACATATTAAGAAAATGAAACGGATAATCCTTTGTATCATGGAACAGATCTATTGTTGTTGGCAAATTTAGGTTTATCTTAATTTATTTTGTATTTGTATTTTATTTTATTGTGTATGACTTTGTACTGGTTTTAGAATAGTATAATTTACATTGCAATAATAATTTGCTGATTCGTTGTTTCGTTCTTATAGTTCATGTAAATTGTTAAAGAGTTCGCAATAAAAGAAAAGTAAGGTAAACCGCTCGCTTTAAGACCTGACTGAGGGACATAAATCCGGAAGGAAGTGCCCAGGAATCGAGGCTACACCCAACTGAATCGCACCGGATTCAAGTAATCTGAGCTGCTGCAGATAAATTACTTGTAATATTTCGAAATTCATCACACCGTTGATAAGAGCTTTTTTCACACTTAATTTCTAAATTGAGGCATGATGGAAATGTATCAATAATTAATGTGGTGTGGTTATTTTATTTAATTTTCAATTGATTTATAAAGTAAATGGCATTTTAATGACTACAATAATATAATTCTAATTTACTTTGCCTCATCAAGTTATGATAATATAAATACACCGACATACACTTTTAGTTTTATTTTAATTACGCCTGTTTTGTTTTTATAAAACGTCACGTTAAAAGCGCTGTGGAGCAAGATTCGAAATTTAATCGCTATTGGTTGGCTTCCCTTCCCCCTCTCCCCGCGCTCCTTGCGTCCCAGAACACAAGTAATGTACACGATGCGACCTGTTTCTTAAATAGACCTTTTATTTGCTTTAAATCTCATCAATGCTCTTAGGGTTTAAAAACAAAATCCGTCCAACGAGACCGGCTCTTCGTTACGTAAAAGCTGTTTCCTATTCCTTTCGGCGATATCTTAAAGCGAGGCAGTTTCATTTTGTATTCTTCTATTGAGTAATTGTCACAGTTGTGACATTGTCACAGTTGTGTATCAGTTGATATCTATTATGAATTATAATACTAAAGTGACATAGTAGATATATATAACGAAAAGACAAGGGCGAAGCAACAATATATGTTTGTCCGACTTAGGATTGGTAGACGAGGCGTCGGTGGCGTATGGTATCGCATGCAAACAAGCACCGGATTTATATGAATAATGGATGACCAGCTCTCCCGTGTTATAGCCAAATTGTCTTTCTCAACCTGCACTAGCCCTTGCTTGATTTTGAATATTTCCGTTACTTCAGTAATTGTAGGACACAATTATTACTTCACGAAGCAAATACAATTGAAATTTTAATTTTCATTGAGATTTCTGTATTAGGCGGCAAATGTCGCTATTTGCATTCAGCTTTAACAAACATATAGACTATTAACATACTTATATATATATATATATATATATATATATAGTTTAAATTTTTTTATACTTTTTTCTAAATATATTGAGATTTTAATAAACACACATATATATAACCCTATAACTCCTCTGTATAACGTCACGTTATTAACGTGGTGTGATTTAAGACTGAACGTTAGTAAATTGGCAGAAGGTTCCATAAATAAATGGTATATATATATAATAAGTAAATGACAATGTACGCCGGATAAATTCAGCTTAAACTAAAAACGGACAAAATCTATAAACCATCTCTATTGAACAGATGTAAAATTATATTTGAATGTTATTATTTTAAAATATTTTTTTTTTCAGTGTGGAAGTTAACATCGCATAATATTAACGCTACTAATCGTGAAATATTAATTAAGCTCAGGCCAATATTATAAAAAATTACATCGCGGGCATGAAAGAGAATCCTTAGCGACAGTATGTCAGCCCTTATAAAATAAACAAACCTATTATCTACATTTCAACCAACCCAGAATTAAAATTTCAAAACTTCAGCACACATATTGAAAATACTGATTTCTTGGTAACTTTAGTAACTTAACTTAAATTAAATTAAATTGCTATGTTTTCTTTGCGTCTATTACTGAACACTACTCATATTTAAATCTGTTAAAAGGGTCTTACTTCAATCGTGGGAAATATTTAATCTCCCGTGAGCAATATTAAGTACTCGGGTGACATAGTGACTGTAAACAGATTGCAACGTAAAAATCTAAATAATCACAAGAAAGTGATTTGCCATCCATCATAATCCATCGCGCACGTGTTTGTCTCAGTGTCTCGTTCCCTAAGTGTCGAAAACTTAGTCGGAAAAGTGACCCAATATATGAATAGACAAACGCAGATCAAATTAATATGAAGCTTTCAAATTTCGAATGTTATAAAATTCAATGAAATGCTATTCGGGAAGTTGAAACTATTATTGAAGTTATACTTCTTTAGGCGCGTTATGAAAAATTGATGAGAGTGAAATTTTACGATGCGAGCGCACCGTGACACAAAATTAACAGTATGAAGTTAGTGGCGCATGTTGGCACGCACGCCGCCTCTGTTCACTGTGTATTTATATTTATAATATTTATCCACATGCTTTGAGTTTCTACATTTAAAACACGTGTTTTCATTTTGTTTTCATTATACAAGTGCGAATTTTATATGTGCGTCTGAATTATAATCAGAAATGATTTAAATCGAATATTTAAATCAATACTAATTAATATTAGAAAGTAATAATAAATATAATATTAATAAATATTTATTTATTTAATTTTTCAAATGTAAACTGAACTTTATTGACTATAATGACTCCATTTCCAGTCTTTGATTATTTAATTGTAATTAATTATTTGCATGCAATCAAAAACTTTTTTAATAATGCCAAAGAAGTATAACTTCTTACGCGCGTACATAAGTATACGCACCCTTTTTTTATAATTACTACTAGAAGCTTTTTTCCTTCATTTGAATATTTAGTTTCGTGTTGGGTTTTCAATGCTAAATCGATTTTTTTTTTATTATTTCAACACTGTATATCTTATACATAGTATAAATGGCATACCATTTTGATAACAATTATTGATATGAAGGTGAACCCGAAATGAATTAGCACTCTATGCTAAGCCGATTAGCTGCTGATTGATTATATTTATTGACCGCTTCCGGTCATTATAATACTTTCGTTTCAGTGAAGTACGTATTCTATAGAGACGGTTTCGATTGAGCGACCTTTCGTTTCACGAATAGTATATACTAGGGTGGAGCGTGAATTTTTTTTTTGGGCTTTTGATTTGGGCTGGGTTGGGAATCGGTGCTCCATAGGGATACGAACGAAAGATACTTTGACAAGATTTTGATATTTTCAGTAGAAATTGTGCCCCAAAGCCACTGAAAAAAACATGAAAGTCCAAAAACAGGGGTTCAAATTAAAATCAATAAAAAAATAACTGTAAGTATTCTTATATATTTTATTTATTAATATTAATATATGAATACCAATAAAGGCATAAAATCAAATAGTTTATACAATTAAGACAAGGAAAAGTTAGGAAAAATACTGCAAATGGGGTAAATTTCCTGAAAATTACTTAGTTCTGTACTCTGCCTTGGTATTGAAAATCAGCATGATTTTACAGGATTTCAACGTATTTTTTATCCATCCTTCCCGTCTTTCGGGCCCACATACAGCAGAGCACGCTTCAGTCACAATTTTGATGTACCTTTCACTTGCTTGAGTGTGACATGGCATTTGACGATAGAGTGTCAAAATTTGAGTTTCTACTATATCTGGGTTGGCGATAGCATCCTTCAATAAGTCGGTGCTAATTTGTTTCAGGACTGGCGGTTCAGAAACTTTGTCCCATTCAATCAGGTCATATGCTCTGCGTTGAAGTTCAAGCTTGGCACCTTGAAGACTCTGATAGGAGCGAAGATCGACGTTTTTTCCCTGATAATCACGATCCGCCTGAGAGCTAGTTCTCGGATGTGGCTACTCTTTCGCAGTGACCGAAATAGCCATTCCTTTGTATCACGGGGTCGACAATTTTCTTTAAGTGCGTTGGAAGATACCGAGTCAATTTAATTGTCTCGTGTAGGTGTTTTGCCCCGTAAACACACAAAGGTTTCGTTTTTATATGGAACCACATTGGGGCGTAAACCTTCAAGACGAATTCAGTCACAGTCATCTGTTTTTCAGTCGGATTCTTGGTGGAAATGTAAAGCCTGAGAATTGAGTTGGCTGTCGTCATCCAACGCGAATGACAGATTTTTCCTGGAGACCTCATAGCCAAGTTTTCGTCACAATTTCTTGCATTAATAGCCTGACATATTTCCAACAAATATAGGTGATCTGCGTTTATATACCCACGAGTTCTTGTGATATCAGGCAGGTAACAGTTTATTGGTACAAAATCAACTACTGGGAGGCATTTTTGCAGGTGACACAAGCTTTATTGATTTGCTTGTAACTGGCACACTAGCCACTGCAGCGGTCGTTTAAATATTTTTTCTAAAAGCCGTATGATACCTGAATGAATCCCAGTATCAACGGCAGTACCGTCGCCTCCGATGGCTGTGATTGTAGTTAAATCGATCGATTTCACTACAAAATAAGCTAACAGTTTGTTGGCAATAGTTTTAGCACCGCTAACCTTGCAAATAATGTGGCCAATGTATTGCGACCCAGTTTCTTTTAACAGAGTGATGTGTTCCTCTACTACAAATCTTCTGCGATTGCCCTCCATGACTAACGTTTTATCCTTTCATCCGTCAAACGAGATACAAATGGACTGTCCTAGGTCGAGCTGAGTGGAAATCTGTGAGTTCCTAGTTTGGGTACGGGCTCGGCGGATCTTACTACGATCGACAACATTCTTGCAATCATCTTCAGTCACTGAGCCGATATCTTGTAATGCAGCAGACACAATAGCAGCTCCTCCGTGCTCTCGCCTTCAACTGAAATAGGTCACTAATGCATTTTCATTGGTCACAGCAGGTCATCGCGAAGTCTACCTCGGCGCGTAGCAGAAACAAAAAATTACAAAATTTCGCGATATTTTATTAAATTGCCAACGATATTTCGTGGGTAAATAAATGTTCTTTTATGTTTCTATCGCAATTATTATGTGGTTGTGTTCATCGTTCAATACTAAGTGAGAAAATGCATATTTTACTTTTAGAATTGATACGAGACAAGTTGTCGCACTACCCTCTTTTTCGAAAATTTGTGTATATTTCAAGGGCTTTGGGGCACAATTTGCAGTTAAGATATTGAATCCAAATTTTCTGTGCTTAATATGTTTGTACCGGAGCACCGATTCCGTTCACCGCCTTTTTGAAATTCGAAAAAAAAAACCTCCATACAAGCACGCTCCACGCTTTTTAGGTTCCACAAAATATTAAAAATATTGCATTATTTAAACGATTCGTGAAATGCATAGCGATTTGAAAGCCATAAGAGCCTTGAGAGAGCCATATTCCCTTCAAAATATAATAAAATATATGTATTGGTAATATTGGAGGAATTAAATCACTAAGGCTGAGATCTATAGTGCACTGACTTTTAGATTACCTTAGAAAAACTTTGCTTATTAACTAAGGTTACTATATTATTTATAGAATTTTAACTAATTAGTAGCCAACTAAGACAAAAATTCAAAATACAAATTATTTATTTATAATACTTTGTTTATTATCCTTTAAAAATTAAAATAAAAATATTTAAAAATCTAAACGTAAATTTCTTAATTTATTATTTATGTATTCATTTATTTTATTATTGAATAACTAGAAATTCAGAGTAACCTTTAAAAATTATTAATTATTTAAAATACATAATTTTATTAGTAGAACGGATCGCAATGTTTTGTTAGTTATATTTGAATTTCTTGTCACTATAATATCCAATTGAGGCTGCCAGGTGACATACAAAATCACACCAGTTATTTTTAAGATTTTTGGGTTTGAACAATTAATAAATAATATAAATAAACAACAATAAATACCATAATAATTTAATTATTATTTCAGATTTTGTATTTATCAAGATCATTTATAATTTCTTTGAATTCAAATATTTTTCCCAAATCTATGAACTGATAAATGCAAATTTCATTAAAAACCGACAAAAATAAAAAGTCCAGTAAAAGATATGATGTAAAAAATTTGGGCCATTATTTTTGTTACTTATATGTTTTTGTATTATTTACTTGAATTAGTACACATAGAGAATTGTATTTCTTAAAATACCGACTGTGTCTTACTCGATATTAATCAGACAAGTCTAATGAATCTATAGTACTTACTTTGTCAGACTTTTAGAAAAACTTTGCTTAGTTACACTAGTTAAACTATGATTTATTTATAGACATTTTACGTGAATTAACTAAGCCCAAGCTAAGACAGAAAATTCAAAATACAAATTGATTTTCATTTCATCAATACTTTGTTTATTATCTTTAAAAAGTTAACAATAAAATATTTAAAAATCTAAAAGGTACACATATATCTTCAATTTATGTTATTTATTATCATTATTTTATTATTGAATAACTAGAAATTCAGAGTAACTTTAGAAAATGTATTAATTATTTAAATAAAAATTTTATTACTAAACGATCGCATGTTTTGTTATTATAGTTTGAATTTTTTCACTATAATATCCATTAGGTGAGGTGACATAAAAATCACACCAGTTATTTTTAAATTTTAATGGTTTGAACAATTACATAAATAATATAAATAAACAACAATAAATACATAATAATTTAATTATTTTATTTTATTTATATATTTATCAAGATCATTTATAATTTCTTTGAATTCAAATTTATTTTTCCCAAATCTATGGAACTGATAAATGCAAACTGTTATTAAAACCGACAAAAATAAAAAGTCCAGTAAAAGATATGATGGTAAAGCAAATTTTGGGCCATTATTTTTGTTAGGCTTATATCAAATTTTTTAAATGATTTGTGGACTTGAGATTAATAACAACACTAGGAGAGATTGTAGTTTTTATAAATAGACTGTGTCTTATGATATTAATCAGAGCAAAGTTATACTATAGATCTCACCCTAAGAATGGAATCGAGCCGTGCCTCGGCATAATGTCGTCGGTCTTTCGAGAACGTTTAGATTGGATGGATTTCGGACCTTTTTGCTCTCAGTCATACTCAGAGGGTTAATATATAATTGTTTTATCTATGTTATTCGAAAAACATTTGTATCGTCAACAACAATGTTACTACATTATGTATGTGTGCCCATCTTAGGTACAACACAAACATAAAAAGTCAAAAGTTGAAAAATTATTTAATCATAGACGTAACACAATGTACACTTATGAAAGTCAAAAAAGAAATGTATATGAAATGCTTCTAACTTTAGATTTAGTGCAAGTTCTCAAATCAAGGGAGTAGAACGGAAGAGAAGATCTGGCAATAAACTCTCCGCCACTCTTTTTAATCGCCATGTTGTTTTTTTACACAATGTTTGTAAGGAGCTGCCACCATTACACCATGTTCCACGTGACATCTTAAGTCATTAATAATAATAATAACATAAATGAAAAACAAAGACTTGTCCTCTATCAGCAGGCGGTATGGTGAAATAGCTCGCACTTACATTCTCGTGAGAACAACACGCAAACACATAGTCGAAATAACTAACATCACTGCATACACGAATTCAAGTACGACAGTCACCACAAGTAGCACCCGTTCACGAGTATGACGCATGGCCATATTTTAGGGAGAGAAACACCCCGACGCATAAATAGTCATATACCTAAGAAATTACTATGAAGGCTCGAGAGTTTGCACTTGACTTGGCTAAAACGCCTTGTACACACATTACAAGTGATATATTAAATTATTACAAGCACATTGAAAAAGTAAAAAGAGGCAATGATGCCGGCGCTAGGTATATATAATATAGGTCAGGAGGCGGCTGTGACGCGTCACGTGTCGATCTCGGTATAAAGGCGGTGGTTAATCTCATTACAGGTTGAAAGGGCAATCTGCTTCCGCCTCGAGGATAATTATACCGACCTTCGGTAATGAGGGATCCGCCGGACACAATATCGCCTCCATTAAACGAACCGCACATACGCGATCCGTATTGTTGTCAATTATGATATATTGCATATATACACTAAACGAGCCTAGCGAGACGTAGTCGTTTACAGATTAAGAAGTTCCGAAGAATGGACCCAACAAACACCTGAAGAATTTAAATATTCTCAAGTAAAGTGCAAAGTACTTGCAAATTCCCGTTCGAAGGCGCTCGCCGAGTTAATCCTCGTGATTAGTCCGCCGCGGCTCGAGACGCTCGCCAAGACGCCCCAACCCGCTCCCTGCTCCATTATTGCGATAATCTAGTCGAAATAACACAGATAACAATAATACAATTCCCGTAATATTGAGAGACTTACCACTACGAAATACTGAAAACAACTCTGTTGTGACAACAAGGATTAGTACAAAGGAATCCAGTTATTCGTTCTAGTAATTACTTACATTACTGATAAAAAGATGAAATTGTTTCTCGTTTGGCCCTGTGATACGTCACTCGGCAGGTGACCTACCTCAACGGTGACGTGGGTTTATTTTTAATTGCTTTCGTAGATCGTCGCTTCATAATTTATTATTGTTTGGGTTTCGGCACTCTTAAGTTCTGTGCAAAATTGTATTAGTTCGTTAATAAATCTCATTGTCAATTGTGAATGATAATTTCCTTGTGGTGCGACTGAAATAGTTAATTATCAAATTCCACTACAGTGACATTTACGAACGTATTTAATACAATGCCGATATGCAACTTTGACATTTATATTGATACAAACGTATTTTACTGAAAAAGGCTGTGGCTCCGATAGTCGGTAGGTGTTGGATGTTATCTGGAGACGGCAAAATGCGAGCTCCTGTTCCACAGAGTAGGAACGGCACAGAGAACGTGATGATTATAATCCGGCCGTCCTTAATGATTTCGATACATTAGCATCACGTACATGAACATGCATATTAAAAACATAATTCATCATTTAACGTAAATTCTACAAACAGACAAATTATAGAAACAATATTTAAAATCTAATATAATATTAGTTCAGTAAAACCCTACTACAGAGTTTGAAACTTAAACAAATACCATCCTAATAAATACTCAAGTTAATATAATAATAATTGAGAGTTAAAATTATTTTGAAATCATAGAACGCTTTATCTCGGTTTATAACAAAGTATGAAGTAGTCTAGGTGTGAGTGTAAATCAGGTCGTGTCTCCGCTGCGCGCTCCCAGGTCGTTTATTTTTTTCCCGGGTCCCGCCGCCGGCTGCGACATATATGGATATTGTAAATCTTTGTAACCCGCTACACATTATTGTTCTCGTAGCGAGCATATTACAGCTGTATCTGCTGTTAGCTTAATTATTATGGAAAACGATTACATTTTGATTTCTCAAATGTAATTTTTGAAGTTCCACTCAATCTGTGTGGTTCTTTCCTCAAAAGACCATTTCAGACAACAATCTACATGGTCTTCACATAATATTGTTAGTTATGTCTGGACTTTAAAAGAGACTTACCTCTGAGTTTGTTTCGTTTCTTCTAGAGTAGTAGATAGAAACGTCGATCTCATCTATTTTAAAAAAAAATTTTATAATTTTTAAACCTACTTACAGAAATAAATCATTTATATTTAATGTAATTTTTGAAGTAAAACTTCTTTAGGCGCGACTAGGGAG